TGCATCCGCAAGTGCATGTGAATTCATAAACGCAGTTGGAGGTGGCGTGCAACGGTAAGGCATCCTTAACACAATGACTTGGCAAGGGCTTTGTTGGAGAGCAGAATATAAGTTCAGCTGCGTAATAGGTTCTTTCTATAGCCTTGAGTAGGCGCCTCCTAATAGTATTTAAGATGTTATCACCCTTGAAGGGCAAGGATACAAATACTGGAAACCAAACAGAACCAAGTTTTTGCTATATTGCAAAAAACAGACATTAACATCCCATGGAAATATGAAGTACAGTATGGCGAGTGCTGCATGAAACATTCCGAAATTTTAAAAAGACCGGCAATCACTCTCAAAGCAACATTGAGTAGGATTGCAATACTGTTTTTCATGCAGTCCAATTTCAATTATTTTCGGTCACGGTAGAATGTCATCTCTGTGATGAGCTTCTTTTGCGCCGTTGCGAAAAAATTGATTCTTTAAAAAATTGCTACTTAAATAGCATGCATTTTTATTATTGATTTTGACTGCTTATATAAATTCAAATATCTTGTGTGGAAAGCATACACGAAAAAATCCTCTCTTGTACTTATTTGATAGCACACGAAGAAAAATTGACAAGCGTTTGGCTAAAACGTACAATTATAACTTTAGTACATATGTGTACATCGATCATATGCAGAACACATCTGCCCTGGTTTTGATGCCCTTGAGCTCTCATGAGTGGTTGTGAATCTCACAACCCCAACATGACTAATTGCATATTTTTTACTACGTTTCAGTAATATATGTTGTATATTAGGCATAACCGGCAAACATCGGGACTTGCAGGATACGCATTTCTGCCTCCTGAGGCGTCATCAGCCCCAGTTACCCAACTTTACATTTCTGATCGATAGAATCAGTTTATGCTTTCAAGAAAGATAGCCGACCCAGCGGTGGGAAACTTCAGCTAACAAAAAAAGTCATTCCGGTTAGCATATCAAGGCATATTTGACGTGCGCAGAAGAAGAAGAAGAAGTCGAAAAAGGCATTTTAGCGAATTTGCACCAAATTAACTTTGCGGCATTACACACGCGCAGTTCCAAAAGTGTTATTGCTAATCGTGCGACGTAGGCAAAGGAGGCCATTGTGATCCCACTTATCATCATGCCAACTACATGTCTGAGAATACTCAGTGGGCGTGTAGGCCGCAAACGCTCACCCGGTTACTACCCTCTATCTGCTTCTGGGACAGGTGCCGTAGGCTGCTATTGGCCAAGCAGTTGATCAAGCAGCCAGTGACTAACGCTCCCAGCAGACAGACGCGCGCGCGCAGGGCCCGGTCCTGCGGCATCGAACCACCATTGAGTTTCCGTAAACAACTCTGAGCACACTCTCAGCTTTCACTCCTACAGACGCGTACGTGCTGGCACGATAAAATGGCGAACGCATCTTCTACGTGCGTATCTGTTTCATTTGCGAACGCACCGCAGGATAAGCTCACCGCCTCGAGCATGCTAATCTGTTTGGGGGTCTTGCGTTGTCTCATGGTTTAGCAGAGAACGTGCACATGTACAAACAGTTAGATAATATTTGCATTATACAGTACGGCCTAGAATTCCTGTAGCATGCTCGATAATCTTTGGCTAATCGGCATTGAGTACGGTTTTGATACTGATTATCGTGTAGTCTATTCTGAAGTTATTTCAGTCATGATAGGATGCCGGCTTTTTAAGCAGCCTCTTTTCTGACCGCGAACAAAACACATGTACTGTACAATGTGGCTACTAAAGTAGTACGCATTTTACTCATTTATTTTGACCATCTGTATATATTCAAGTATATTTTATGGAAAATATGCACCAGCAAATGACTTCTTGTACTCATTTGGTAGAAAATTAGGCCTCCTTTAAATTTTATACTTGAAGGAAACGCATTTATTGTTTTTAAAAAGTCTCCAATTACGAGTTTTTTTACGATTGTGAGGTGTTCATTCATTAAACATCACATCGGTCAATTTATTAATGCTGCGTACAATACATACAGGGTGTTCCACATCCTTTGCAATAATTCATGAGAACTGTGTGACTCCTTCCTCAAATCGTAGGCAAAAACGTACTTTTCCTTAAAGGGGATGTACACTGCGCGCTGTTTGTAAACCTTGGATTCAGGTATAGCGGTCGGTAGGTTTAAAAATGAGTCAGCAATTTATAAATTTTTTTAAAACCGAAAGATACCTTTTCTTTAAGCACAAAATGTAAAGAAGGCGTATTTTGCTACCAAATGTGAACAAGAAACCACTGTTTTCTTAATGTTTTCCATAGAATATCTTTGTACTTATGAGGGCAATTGAACTCATTGGTACAAAATTAATACTACTTACGTAGTCACACTTACAGTACATTCTTTTTCTTAGCGGTCAGAACGATGCTGCTTAAAAAGCCGGCATATTATCGTGAGTGGAATGACTTCAGACTAGACTATACGATAATCAGTATAACCACCTTACTTAATGCCGATTAGTGAAAGATGATTACTCTTTTGCCCATACAGTACTCGCCAGAATTCGTGCAACATGCTGACATATGCGAAAGATTGATACTCTTTCGCCAATCGGCATTGACTCAGGTTTTGATACTGAATATCGCGTAGTCTTCTCTGAAGTTATTTCGGTCACGATAGGATGTCGGCTTTTTTGGGGGGCTTATTTCTAACCACCAACAACGCGTATGTACTGATGAAAAGTAACTACTTAAATAGTGTGCATGTTTATCCTTGACTTTGAGTGCTTTTATACACTCAAATATGTTTTATGGAAAAAAATTATTGCTTGTACTCGTTTATTAGCCAATTACGCCTTCTTTAAATGTAATACTTAAAGAAGGGGTATCTTTAGGTTGAAACGTTTTTTTTTCTAAATTGTCGAATAATTTTGAAACCTTCTGACTGCTACACTAGAATTCAAGGTTTACAAAATGCGCACTGTGTACATCCTGTTAAACGAAAAGTACGTTTTCATCTACAGTTTCAGGAAGAAGTCACATAGTTCTCATAAAATATTGCAATATGTGTAGAACATGCTTCATACAGGAAAGGCAGTATCACTAAATGCACGGATACGATATATGATGAATGAACACCTCACAATCGTAAAAAAGCCCATAATTAGAAATTTTGTTAAAATCGAAAGATATTCCTTGTTTAAGTATAACATTTAAAGAAGGCGTAATTTGCTACCAAACGAGTGGAAGAAATAATTTTTTGTGTAGGATTTCCAAAAAATATATTTAAAATCAAGGATAAAAACGCATAATATTTAAGTAGTTATGTTTTACAGTACGTACGCGTTATTAGTGGTCAGAAATGAGCCAATTTAAAAGCCGACATTCTATAGTGACCAAAATGACTTTAGAATAGACTACATGATATTCAGCATCGAAACCATAGTCAATGCCAATTCGCGAAAGAGTATTAATTTTTCGCATATGTCGGCATGTTGCGCGAATTTTTGCGCGTACTCTATATGTTACATATTACACAAATTCACTGGCGTACTGTACGGTTTTAAATCCAAACAATTTATCCAACTCTAAACTGGTCATTATAATTTTATATTTGTTAAAAGCATATTTTAGCTTACCTAGGCCAGTATTGGCATACCCAGTATTGCGTCCTGTCCCAGCGTCCCACCAT